ATGATAGAGCTGGAAGAGACCCTAAGGTATTATCTAGTCCAATTATGGCCCCCAGACACCTATGTGTCTGAAAAAAGAGATGGGGGCGGGTCTGTGAGCCAACTCTAGTATTCCAGATGCCCTATGGTAATTCTATATTTGAGGATAATACTGTAAGGTTAATCAAGCTAGGGAAGCATGAGGTTCCTCTGCTTTGGGCAGGAATTATCAATATGTGGATAAATCAGTTGTTCCTAGTAACTGCTCGTGGGGAAGCAAAAGCTTTCGAAAACCAAATGCCTGTAGCTGTTTTGTCCAGTACGATTAGCCACTGGCCACGTACTGAGCACTTGAAACAGAGCCAATCCCGAAGTATGCTGTCAGTGCTAAATGCGTGCCAGACTTCAAAAACTTAGTAGAAAAATGTGAAGTTGGGGCGCCTGGGTGGCTCAGTCGGTTAAGCGTCCGACTTCGGCTCAGTTCATGATCTCGCGGTCCGTGAGTTCGAGCCCCACGTCGGGCTCTGTGCTGACCGCTCAGAGCCTGGAGCCTGTTTCCGATTTTGTGTCTCCCTCTCTCTCTGACCCTCCCCTGTTCATGCTCTGTCTCTCTCTGTCTCAAAAATAAATAAACGTTAAAAAAAATTTTTTTTAAAGAAAAATGTGAAGTATCTTACGTTTTTAGATTGGTTACATATTTAAGTGATAATATTTTAGATATATCAAATTAAAAAAGTAATCAAAAGTAATGTAAATTCTTTCCTTTTACTTCTTTTTACTGTGGGGCCTACACATCTCAAATCACATCGTGTGGTTTCCATTGTACTTCTGTTAGAAGCTGTGGTCTGTTGTGAGAGATTTCTGGGCGGTGAAGTGTCTGGGACTCGTTCTTTATTTGGTAGACCCACAAAGTGAGATCAGAGAGGTTAGGCCACTTGTTCAGGATCACACAGCAAGTTGGTAGCTGAACCAGGATTAGGCCAGTGTGCTTTCCCTTGCTGAAAACAGCCTCAGGGTTCACAGTGATTTGTTTTACTACGGGTCTGTAAAATTGCTTCTTTGAGTAAATGCCAAGGTTCTTGTATAGATGATTGGCAGTTGTGTCCCTCCAGAATCAAATCCAACCAAAAACAAAAAGAGAAGAAGGAAGAAAAGGAGACAGAAAAGGCTTTCCCTTTAAAGGACCCAGGGAGAAATTGCAGTTTTCATTCTTGAGCAGATTTCCTTTACCCCCAGCACCCTGGCGTGGAACATTAATTGCTGAAGAAAACCGCAGTAAGAAAACATTGACAAGGAGTGCAGCCCTCATTCAGCGTGCTTTCCCCTTCAACGCAGCAAGAATCCCTCATTAAAAGATTAAGGCTGACCAAAAATAAATTGTCTCTTGGTCCCCAGGCAGTTCATTTGACATCATTTCCACAGGATTAGGGACCCCAATGGCATGTGTTTAGCATGGGGCTATGTTAATACTACACAGGATTATTCTCAAAAATTTTAAAATATACTTTTAAGTATTGAACTACTACTAATTAAGACTTTAATGTGACTAATAACTATGATATTTTGCCCACAAATGGGGACTTTTCTCCCCCCCCCCCACCACACCAGTGTGTAACCAAACGCAGCAATTCTACCTTAAAAAATTTATAAAAAGCAGACCATGAAGTATAGCAACATCATGATCACTTGAGGAATTGTGCAATTGTGTGGAATGGAAATTTAGCCTCTACTGCACGTGGTCCTCGGTCCCTTCTCTGAGCCATCATTTCTCGTCTTTGTGTTTTTTATGGTTATATCGTACGTGTAGAGTTTAAAGAAGCTAAAAATTTTATAAGGTACATTACGAAATCTTTTGTGCCCCCCTCCCCCTACTCTACATCCCTACTCTTGATTTCCTGCCCACCAGAGGCAACCACTTTTATATCTTTCAACTGATTCTTTAGTCATTTACCTCCATTTCTTAAATCACACACTCAGGGTGCCTGGGTGGCTCAGTCCGTTGAACATCTAACCCTTGACTGAAGCTCAGGTCACGATCCAACAACCGAGCCCCACGTCGGGCTCCATGCTGAGTCCCTCTCCCCTGCTTTCTCTCTCTCTCTCTCTCAAATAAAATAAAATAAAAAATTAGATTACACACTGACATTGCTACTTACTTCTTTTTCAGTTCTAGACATTATCCTTTCTTATCCCACTGTAGAAGATGACACTTTATCTCTTTTGTCCCCTACCCCTAGCCCTACCATAGAAGCATCCAGGTAGTCATAATTTCAGACAGGTCAATATTTAGTGTTTCCCTGCTGTCATTATATAAATGCGATCATATCTGACTCACGTACTCTATTAAGATTGCTTTTCTTTACTGTAACTTCTGGTTTTCCCTGGAGTTAATAACTATGGTGTTTTTACCATGTACTTCCATTTTTAATGTACTGATAACTTAATTTTTATGTACCCATTGCTAATTCACCTTTCTCAGATGCAGTGGGTGTTAACAAATCCTGGAGCAAGAGTCTGAGAACCTTCCCCCTTCTCTGGTCTTGGCTTTCGCGTGGTGCTCCGCTGCCATCTGGGCCTTTCTTCACTTCACCTCCTCTTTGAGTTTGATTCCATTTCCTGAATCCCATGCCTTTTCTTGTTTTTAGTTTATTTTCTAGCTTTCATGGAGGACAGTTTTCAATAGCTTCCTAGGGATGGGGAGGGGGTGGGGCGGGGCTAGAGGGGAAGTAAAATTGTTGAAAACTTGCACGTCAGAAAATATCTTTCCTCTCTCCCCCTGTTTGATAGTTGGACTTAATAAGTTGCCTAAGGATGCAGTTCTAGGCAGGAAATAAGTTTCCCCCAGAATTTTGAAGGCACTGGTCCATTGTATTGTCTTTCAGTGCTGCTGTTGCAAAGACCGTGCCTTCCTGACTCTTAATCCTTGGTGTGTAACTTGTTTTGTTTGCTTATTTGTCCTCCGGGAGTATTTTTATCCTCCGCATTCTAAGTTCACTGCCGTGTGCCTTGGCGTGGGTCTGTGTTAGTCCATTCAGGCCATTGCAGACCTGACACTTATTTCCTTCGGTTCTGGGAGATTTCCTCCCCTGTTTTCTCAGTTCTTTCCCTGGAACTCCCATTATTAGGACGTTGGTCCTATGATTTTCTTATCTTCTCTTAGTATTTTCCACCTGCTTGTAGTTTGAACTCCTCTCTGGGAGATTCCTTAACGTTTATTTCCCACTCCTTCTATTGAGTTTTTATTCCTGAGGTCATACCTTTAATGTGCACGGGGGGATTTTTGTTGTTATTCTGGACACGTTCCTCATTATAACCTCTTGTCCTTCTCTCAGAGTCGCAACATCTTCTCTTACTTTATGGAAGGATAATGATGATGATGATGATGATGATTAGTTTTTCCTACGTGGTCTGTCTTTTCTCCATGATGCCTTCTTCTGGCCGTTTTAAGTTTTTTTTTGTTTGTTTTTGGCTGGGTGGTATTTTTTGTTTCACTCTCTGCCTTTCCTCTTTTTTTTTTTTTTAAATATTTTTTTTTTCAACGTTTATTTATTTTTGGGACAGAGAGAGACAGAGCATGAACGGCGGAGGGGCAGAGAGAGAGGGAGACACAGAATCAGAAACAGGCTCCAGGCTCTGAGCCATCAGCCCAGAGCCTGACGTGGGGCTGGAACTCACGGACGGCGAGATCGTGACCTGGCTGAAGTCGGACGCTTAACCGACTGCGCCACCCAGGCGCCCCTGCCTTTCCTCTTTTATACCCAAACATCTGGTGATCTCTGCTTGTCCACTCATATCTGAGAGTTGTTGGAGTACTGACTGGAAGTTCTACATGCATGGGTGGGCTTATCCACGAGGGTGACAGGTCTGGGTATTCCCTTGACATACATACCTTTGTTGTGAATATCTCGACGTCTTTTGTCTTTGGCTACATTCTGCAGAGACGGACAGGTAGCCATCCTGGAGGGCTTAAGTCTAGCTGCCAACCTCCTGGGAGAGCAGCGAGAGGAAATGGGCTGGGGTGGGGGTGGGGGAATCTCACTGGTTGCCACATACACATCCTTTTACTCCTCCATATATAAGTTTTAAGTTAATTCCACCTGGCCATTTTGGTTTCAGTTCTTTCTGAATTCACTGTACTTTATTGTCTCTGGTGCATAAACTTCTAATCTTCTGCCGTGATAGGAAAGGAGCGGTGGCTCAGCTGTCCAGATTTTCAGGTGTAACCAGTGCCATCGAGTGCCCAGCCTTTGAGGGTCCCTGCCCTGTAAATCTGGTTATTTCGCAGCTTTTCTTCCTATGAGGTTAGCATTCTACTTCCCTGCGTCTGCTAAGTAAATTACCATTGGTTCATCTGCTTTCAAGCTTCTGATTTGTCCTTCTCTTCTTCTCCTCCTCTTTTCCTCCCCCTCCCTCTTCCCCTCGCTCTTATCCCCTCTCCTGGTGTTTTAGTCCTTGTGCTTTCTTACAAATCGTTTCGCTGTTATTTTAAGAAGTTTGGGGAAAGAGAGCAGAGCTAAAATTAACTTCATCAAAGACTGATGAATTTTGACAGTCTCTCTGCCACAGGGAGAGATTGTCTTAAGTATGTGTGTGTTTCGTATATATCGAACTTCGAACTTGAACTTCGTATGTATATGGAGCTTCTCAGGAGGAAGCTTTTTTGTTAATTGAAATTATTATTACGATTGATACTTTTTTACCCTTAGACTAGTACAACTTGTGTCACAAAGTATCGCCTGCATGGAAGTCTTGTGAGGCACTACATATAGGGCAGGTGGTTGTATTTTTGTATTCCTCTGCCCTCTTGAGGGATAAAGTTTTATGTCCCTGTTATAGGAAATCAGTGGAAGAACTGGATTAACCCAGTTAGATTTTTGTTTTGTTTTTACAGCAACACCCTTTCATTAATAAAGAAGTCAACATATGAAGTACTCATAGACTAGTTAATATACGTAAAGCTCTTAGAATCATGACTGGCACACAGCACTATGTAAATGTTAACTGCTACTCTTGTCTTGATAGTACTTCTGAATATTCCAAGAGTTACATCCAATGGTTCCCAAGCCCAGCTGCACTGCAGATTCACTTGATGATCTTTTAAAAAAGATTACACTTCCTACCTCAGACCTCTTTCATCAGAGTCTTCAGGGCTGGGTTCCAAGTACCTAGCAAAACACGGCTCCAATTTTCTGGGGAAGAGATAAGCGAGACATTTCGAGAACCACTCCGAGGAGGGTGTTGTCACATCACTGGTGGAAATTATGTGGATGATGGTTGAAGAAGACTGCAAAGGAGCCAGCTCTGGGAGCTGAGACTAAAGGCAACGTAGATATACACAGCAGATAAAGAAATAGGCATACACACAAGCATACCCAGAGCTGGAAACCAAGTCATTATACCTGGCCGTCGTTCTGTACAGAACATTTAGGCAGTAAAGTCACCTCTTTCTTTACGCTGTTTTGCTCTTTTCTTTAGATCAGATTTTACCTGGATAGGAGAATTAACAAAAGAGGGTCAGGTGGATGGATGTGCATTTCTTCCTGCTCTCTCAGTGGCAGACGTCTGTGAAGCATTGGCCAGAGTCAGCTAAGCATGTACTTTAGACGAGATCCGCACTCCTAAAGGGGACTCATGCAGTCTTCAGATGGATTACATTTAAGTTAATCCTTGTTCCGACTCAGGTCTCATCTGCTAGTAGGGTTCAGTTTTCATTCATCTACTGTAAAACCAAACAACCCTTACTTGTGGCGAAGGGAGAGAGGAAAGAGAGGAAATAAAAAAAGCGTTGCATTTTATTTCCATGTAAGTGACTCAGAAGGCTCTAAATGGTTACTTTATTTGAGAATTAGTAGCAACCCTTTGTTTAACTGAAACAGTTGGTGTTAGAAGAATAATTTATAGAATAATAGAATTATAGATTATATAACTATATAATAATTCATAGACATCACAGTTAGGGGCTGGGGAGGAGGGGTGGGTGACAAAAAAAAAAACATGCCAAATCACAGAGTGACCAGATTCATGTCCACTAATGTTTTACATTATCCAAATTTTAATGCTTGATTTTAAGGAATATCCCCTTATCGTTTGTAAAATATTTATCTTGAGATTCTCTCCATACTTGGTGTTGGAACAATGGAGAATGATCCGGGCTTTCCGTTGGGAAAATAACAATAGCCAGCCCTTACTGCATGCTAACTGCGTGCCAGGCACTGTCCTAAGCACTTTTCCATCTGCTAGCTAATTTAATCCTCATCAGGGCCCTGGAGAAGGTTCTGTTAAGATCAACGAAGTGAGGGGCGCCTGGGTGGCTCAGTCGGTTAAGCGTCCGACTTCGGCTCAGGTCATGATCTCGAGGTTCATGGGTTTGAGCCCCCGTGGGGCTCTGTGCTGACAGCTTAGAGCCGGGCGCCTGTTTGGGATTCCGTATCTCCCTCTCTCTCTGCCCCTTCCCCACTTGTGCTTTGTCTCTCTCTCTCTCAAAAATAAATAAACGTTAAAAAAAATTAAAAACCAAAAAAAAAAAAAGATAAATGAAGCGAACGCATGAGAGGCTTACTTGCTGGTAAGTGAGTGGTGTAGCCCTCCTATTTGCCTAGCTGCTTTGCTTGTACAGCTTTGGGTTGCTCACCACAGGTGCCTGGCCCGGAGGACGTTATGTTCCGGACTGGGCTGGCCGGGGCTGTAGAAGGTGTTTTAGACATAAGCCAAAGGAAGCTAATACAGGCCTCCTCTTCCTTCCACATGCTGTCTCAATTCCAGACCAACAGTAACTCTCTGAAGGGACTATTAGGTGAGGCGAGGCTCCGAGAACTCCCGTAAATTACTCAAGCTCACACAAATGGACAGTGCCAGTCAGAATTCAATCCAGATTAGATTCCAAAGCCAGTGGAATACCTCCCTTCTCCTCTTAATATTACCTTTTGCTCTGTGTCGCCTCTCAGGAGGTGGGAAATAAAGCCAGGGATGAGTGGGTACCTCTACTCACAGTTCCTCCGTGTAGCACTGTGGGACCCTTCAGTCTGTTTTCCAGGCATAAACGCAGCTGAATGGCAAATAAAGCCCAGGCAGAACAGCAGCCTTCCCCATTTATGCCTGGAAGACATAATGCTCTTTTTGCATTGGCGCCAGAGAACTGTGCCCACCAGCTCTGACTCTTTTCTTTTCCTTCACTCCCCCCACCCCAACTTCATCAAGAAGATAGGAATGCTGAGGTCATCTCAGAGAAATCTAGAATAAATACCATGAGAAACTGGTCCCCCTGGAAGGCATCTTGTTCTCCTGCTGTTTGTAATTGTGAAGAGCTCAGCAACTGGGCAGCTGGATGGGTATAAATATAGCCCAGAGCACTGACGCCCGCTGAATCCTGCTTTCTTAGAAGCACAATGGGAACCCACGGAAATCAGGGAAAGAGCAGTAAAGCCCAGTCAATCAATCAGCCTCCCTCCCTCCCCTCTCCCTTTCTCACTCCCTCTCTCCATCCTTAACCTCAGTGTGGGTGTGAGGATAGAAGCAGCTTTTAAGAGTGCACTTAAAATAGTTCTTGGAACTGGACGCTGGCTAAACTCAAAGACAGGGAAGATGCTACCTCCCAAACCGGCCCCTGTCTGACCTGTAAGCCCAGGACTAGTTTGACCGTTCTGGTGGGAAATCTCAGGAGCCCGTGCATCCTCAGCCCAGCTGCTTGGGTACAAGCAACGTTTCTAGCGTGAGCTCCAGGCATTTGGTGCCTCCATATTCAGATATCTTATTCTAACCAGACTCAGCTGCCTAATGCCCGGGGATTAAAAATAGCCTCCCAGTGCTAGCTATGGAATTGAAGGAGAAATACTCAGGGAGTAGAGAGGTCAGCTTTGCTCCGGACCCCCGATTCTCATACCCGTGGGTTTCATTGCACCTAAGCGTTTAATCCCTTCAGGTTATTTTAGTCTTGTGCTATACCATTGCCTATTTTGTATGGCTGTTTAAGATAAAACGGTCATCCCGGGTTTGTGGGCATTGGTATCATTAGGAGTCTGGATTTTGGCAGGAGAAAGCCATTATTTTGCTTGGTGGTTCCCGGAAACAAATTGTGTCTAGTTATCTTTCCATGCAGACGTCAATGGTATTTGCTATTGATGCATACATTTATTGGTTTTTTTTCCCTTCCCATTTGGCAGTGAATACTTCACAGAAAAGAATCCTGTCCTCTACTTTCAGTGTAACTGTCCACAAAGCTTAATAAATGGTCTTACATGACTTGCTGTGTTTTGTGACTGTTGAGCTGACCGAAACAACCATTCTTTAATGTCCACAGCACCCTTCTAGAAGATGGCACAAATACTGTGTCATTTGCATAACATTCCATTGTTTAAGGTTCCGTGTGCACCAGCGGTCTAAGAGTAATCTGTGTGCATGGGTGTTTTTAATTGTTTCGTTGGATAGGAGCTGCATCTATGCTTTTTAAAAAAAAATTTTTTTTAATTTCTGAGATTGCTTCCTCCAAATTGAACCTCAGAGTGTAATATTTGTAAAAAAAAAAATAAGGCAGGAACAGTTAAAGCGGAGTATATTTAAAATATAAATTTAAACACGGATAAACTGAAGAAGGCCTGAGGTGGAAGAATGGTAGGTCCGTCAGTTCACCGGTCGCCGGAGCGCCTCAAGCACAGAACCTTCCTCACAAAACATCCTGCCTCCAATTGCTTGTCCTTGGGACCGGAGTCGTGCTAGGAGAGGAACGCCAGCTGTTCTGGCCTTGGTAGGGACTCCAAGGAAATCAGGCCACCGATTGGAGACTTCACAGAGCCAAAGGGAACACCTTGACTTACAGCCAGGAGCCTTGCAGGTCATAACAGAGTTCTAATGATTGACACCCTGAAAACCATTCACTTGGTCCAGGGCCTGGCACATAGTAAGGACTCACCGAATGTTCGCAAATACGCAAAGGGGCATTCCACCCCTATCTCTTCGCGCAACTTCCAAAAGCCTAGAAAAATAACATGGGGACTTCGATCTGCACGGCCACAGCAGCGAGTGCATTCCCTCGGCAGATGATGATCGGACGACCTCGGCCACCTTCTCCAGATTTTCCCCTTTGCCCCTGAATCAAGATGCCACTTGGCACAGATGAGCCGCAAACACCTCAGCCTCTGGTTCAGGGACTGTCCTGGAAAGAAGGAGAGGACATCATATATGAAACTCATTTAAAAAACAAAAACAAAAAAAACTAGTGATATAAAGAAAGAAAGGAAAAAACTAAGATACATCCAGGACCAGAGGATAGACTGAGCTGTAGGCTTTTATGTGCATGCCAGAAAGGAAGGGAGAAGAGCCCACCACACTGCATCATCTTCTGCTCCTTGTCCAAGATTCACATCCACCTGTTATGTGCCATTTTCACCTTTGCCCCCTTGTGCACCAGCCCGGTGACACTTACCGTTACCTTTAGCCCTCCCAACCGCTGCAAGCTGGGTGGTGTTATCCCCCGTCTTCAGATGAGGAAACGGACCCTGGAGTGAGGTGACATGTCCAGGCTCATCAAGGAAGTCAATAGCAGAGAAAGGACTTGAGCCCAGACCTTTTAATTCCCAGCCCCGTGAGTAGGAATAAAAGAGTGGAAACAGCTGTCCAACCCTCCCCGAGTGTTACGAAAAGTGTTGTATTAAAAGTACTGACAGCCCCAGAGGTGACACGAATGTTTCTCCATCGCTCACCACTGAAACCAGAACTGTCGCTGGATACTGTCCGTTCCAGAACCCTCAAGGCACTGAGACTGTGAAGTGACAGCTTTCCTCTCTACAAACTTTCTTTCTCTCTCTCTCTTTTTTTTTGTTTTGTTTTGTTTTAAGAAATCGAATAGTGCTGAGGGATCCTTTTTTTTTTTTTTTTTTAGTTTATTTTGAGAGAGAGAGAGAGATCATGAGCAGGGGAGGGGCAGAGAGAGAAAGGGACAGAGAATCCCAAGCAGGCTACACACTGTCAGCACAGAGCCCGACACGGGACTCAAACTCACAAACCTGAGCCAAAATCAAGAATCAGATGCTCGACTGATTGAGCCACCCAAGTGCCCCAGGATAATTTCTTGAAATAGGGCTTTACCTCCTTCTTTTTGAGAGGAATTTAGGTGTCCTTTCTTCAGTGAAAGATCCTTTCTGTCCTGTAAGAACCTAGAAATAGTCTGTTGGCCATCCACTGTGATGTTCCCAACAAATCCAAATCATGCCATCAATAAAGCTCAGTTTTTGAGAGGCCGTTCGTTCTTTCAAGCACTAATATTTGTATTCATGCAGTGTGCTTAGCACTAGTCCAGGCACTGGGAACAGAATTGAAAGGATACTCTCTTTAAGAAATTCACAGTTCCCAAACTTCAGCTGTGTCCACAGAGTGGAGGCAACTAGGGCAATTTCAGTATCAGGTAACGGGAGGAAGGCCAGGACCACCAGTTGTTGGCGAGTATGGCCGGGAGGCAAGGTGCTGGTAGTTGGGGGTGGGGGATGTCTAACATGACCTTTGGAAACGCGAGCTTAAGGAGCAGACAGCAGAAACCCAGCCATAGCAACTGGGATTCAGCCATAGGACTTGTGTTATGGAGAAGGACTGGAAGATAGGGCTGGGTGGGAAACCCAGATAAGGGACCCCATTACAGCAAAGACCTTTTTTTCCGGGTGACAGAGCAAGGCCCAGTAAAGCCAGCAGTAGTGGTGACTCACTACTGATTTCCCTGAACAACTGGTCCCAAGCTTCCTCTTGATAAAGGAGAGGATTGGGCCTGGAGTTTGGGTGGAGCTGGACTTACAGAAAGGGGGTTAAATAAGTCCAGCTGAAAAGATTATGGGGCCCTAGGGGCAGCCAGCCGAGTATCTTACTACAGCTAAAACACATGGAAAATCAGTCGGACCAATGCGATGCACAGCTCTCTCAGGAGAAAGTGGGCATCCCACGTTGGCATAATCTATAGGAAAGGATTTCAGTTCTGTGGGTCTTGAAGACGAAGTTACAAGGTTGCTAGGATGCTTAGGCTACAAGACATTTTTGTGTGATCGCCTAACTTATAGTAGAAACAAAAGAACATTCCCGTAGTCTGTACCACGTAAAGGTTGCAGAAGATGAGCTTTTTTATTTATTTATTTTTTAATTTTTTTAATGTTTATTTTTGAGAGAGAGAGAGCAGGGGAGGGGCAGGGAGAGAGAGGGAGACACAGAATCCGAAGCCGGCTCCGGGCTCTGAGCTGTCCGCACAGAGCGGACATGGGGCTCGAACTCACAAACTGCGAGATCATGAGCTGAGGCGAAGTCGGACGCCCAACCGACTGAGCCACCCAGGCGCCCCAGAAGATGAGCTTTTTAACAAATATCCATCAACTATCTACTATGTGACTCCAAAGACAAATAAGAAGGTAAAATAGTTCTTGGCCTTGAGGAACTTGTCACCTCTTGGGGAAGACAGATGACTAACCAGCAAATCAGAATATAGGGTGGTTGGGGTTGTGTATCATGTCATTGACCCACAGAGGAGAAGCAGTTGACTTCGGAAAGGAGTAAGTGTTTAAGCTGGGTTGTGAAGGAAAGTAGAAGGAGTCTGAGGAAAGCAAAGAAATGAAGATCGGTTCTAGAAACAAGCAGCAGCTGGTGGCTGGAGCAAAGGGGTGTGATAGAAAATAAGACCGGAAAGATAGACCTGAAGGGCCTGCTGGGCTAAGCTGAAGAATTGAATTTCTCCCCCAGAATCTACGGGGAGCCATTGACGGGTTTCAGGCGGGGAAGTGATACATTCCTTTTCGGGAACTATGTGAAAGGTGGGTTGTAAGAGAGATGTCAGGCCAGTTAGGAAGGAGAATGATACTGCTAATGCTCGACTACTCGCATTTTTCTCCTGTCGCCCGTTGTAGCTCCAGAATTGTAGACTCGTCTACAGAGAAGCCACACGAGTGTGGAATATCGGCTTGTGAGCCACTCCAGAAAGGGTATGCTGGTGGCTGGAAGTTGGGCAGATTGAAAGGCTTCTTGTCATGAGGGAACAAGTTACATTAGGGCACACGTCTAAGGACGCTGCAGAAAAGTTTAAAGTCTCAGTCACATGGTAGCCATGATGTGTAGAAGAACCAGAATTTCACGGAGTGAAGTTTGCCAAATGCTTTGAAGTTGGCCCCCACCTACCTTCACTCTGAGTCGCAATTAAAATCGGAATGTGGCACAGCTGTGTGAGTGGCACGCACATTCTCACACATGTCAGCTCTCTCGGGTCCATTTTGGTAGTATTTGTTTTCCTTTGAGATAGGAGTTGATTCAGTCACACTTTCTTCTCCTGACAATAACTGCATTTTTTTTTTTCCTGAGGTAGCCTTCCCTCCAACCGTCTCTTGTTGTTCTTACCCAAGACCCAGTATCTGCCAAAACAAATGTATGTGAGTGATAAACGCTGAGAGGAATGTCTGTTGGACCACAGGAAATTTCCTGTTCAGGAAGAGATCTTGGGAACTTCCTGTGGAGGGGTGCATTGTGGGACTTTTGGCTGCAGGCCCTTGACCACAGCTGCAATTAACTAAAGGCAGGGGGGGAGGGGAGAGGAAGAAGAGGAGACAGCTACCCACAGACATTTTTATCCATGTAGCCTGAGGAGAGAATGGGCTAATACAGGTTAAAATTTTCCAAGTGATCTGAACGTCTCATGCGCACCAAGGTCACTGGTGCCCAGTCTCCTTTACTGCCACCCATCCTTTACGGCATCCCAGATGCTTCCTTAGGCTTCCTAAAAACAAGCACTGTCGCCTTGTCCCCATGAGTCTTCCTGTGCCTCCAGCCCTTGTAAGCCTGCGTGAAGTGTCCACCTCCTCTTGGGCCATACCAATGGGTTGCAATGCCCTGATTATCCTCAGGACCACTCATGGCTACTGGTGTCCACACCTTGGGGTTGGTGATGCGTTCCATCCCGACTCAGGTATGGAAGAGGGAAGAAGCGACACCTTGGCTCTTTGGCTTACCTCTGCCTCAGAAAACATCAAAGAAATGTTACTGAGTTATCACAAAAGACTGGGTTAATAATCCAGTTCATAACCACAGTCAAAACCAACAGGACGACCCTGCATTCTTGTTCTACAGTGCCAGTCAGGAACGAAGTCCCGATTAACGCCTCATGGCCAGACTTCTCTGTGGCTGCATGGCCGAGCCGGGTCCCTCTTCTGTGGGAAAGTTTCTGGAGCACTGTGGTAGGCAGGGAAGATGGCAAGACTTGGAAGCTTCCAGGCTGTTTCTAGCTGTGTAACCCCAGGCTGGGGAGAGGGCAAGTTATTTTATCTCTCTGCATTTCAGCTTCTTTGTCTAACTTGGGGAATAAAAAAACACTTCCCTTAAATCAGATGATGTATAGAATAGTGCCTATAACCCAAAGCAGGCGCTGAGTTTTTCCTTTGAGTCTATCATCATTACAAACTGGAAATTACTTAGGTGTGGTTCTGGCTAGCGTCAGAGGAAAGGCTTTGAGGGGCCTTTCACCCTCCACTTCTGTGATTTGTACTTAAGGAAGTTTTTTTCTGGAGCTTCTACTCTGTATCCAAGTGCCTGTTACTTCCCCACAGCTCCTGCTCGGCGTTTATGGAGTGCGTCTGTGAAGAGCGAGACTTGTGTTTGAGAATCAGTCACAGCTTGGTGGCAGCTTATGCCTGACTATGTCTTAGTCCTTGGGGATCTCCGGCAGGGGTGACCCGCGCTGTTCTCTGGGTCTTGTAGAAGTAGCCTGCCCTCTGTGCATCGCCTGTGTCACTGTCTATGCCTCTCACTCTGCCGTAACACACAGCCCCCATCGGACACAGGGCTGGTTGCTAAGTATGAATTGATTACTGTATTGTCCTTACCTGTGTGTCTGTGTCACCCACTAGAAGGTGACTCCTTGAGGACAGGGGACTTGTCTGCCACCAGGGATGTGCTTAACAGAGGCTTGTGAAATTGAATGCACTTCATTTTAGGGGAAGGGTTCCACGGGGGCCTTTAAACGTGGGACTTAAAAGGCATTTATGGTTTTATGTTGTAAAATACTGTACCAACTGGCCTGAAAGTTCTGTATTAAAAATAGTGTCTGTGTGGGGCGCCTGGGTGTCTCCGTTGGTTAAGCGTCCGACCTCGGCTCAGGTCACAGTCTCACGGTTCGTGAGTTCAAGCCCCGCATTGAACTCTGTGATGACAGCTCAGAGCCTGGAGCCCGCTTCGGATTCCCTCTCTCTCTCTCTCTTTCTCTCTCAAAAATAAATAATAAAACATTAAAAAAATTTTAAAACTAGTGTCTGTGTGCACTACTGACTATATTATACCCTGTCATTTGGCCTCTGTGCTCCACTGTCACATTTTTGAGTTTTCATTTGCGTGGCTCCCATTTCTTCAGAAATTGGGGGGGGTTTCTTTTTTATTTTTGGTTTGCCTCTTTTCTACTCTAGAAGCTTGAAATACAGGCCTATTTTCACAGTAGGTCTGGAAACAAAAGGCAGTGGTGTTGCCCCTTGATGGGGTGAGCCCCCAGAATCATCTTGAAAATGGGACTTAAATTTTAAAACGTTCTTCAAGAGTAGGTGACCAAGTGTTTCCCAGAAAGAATTAAAAAGCCAGAGTATCTTGCGGCAAACATTGTCCGAGTATATAGTCTACCCTCTGAAGCAGTAGAATTACATCATGGCTTTAAAGATGAAAGCAAAAATAGGGGTAATATAAAAGTGAGCTGCAGTCGTCGGAAAGTTGTCCTCACGTATCCCATGTGATTTTGTTTTACATTATTCTAAGCAGACTCCCCACGTTAGAATGGCAAATATGTGAGCAGAGACATAAATTAACTGGAAGAAAACAAAATAGACCTCTTAACTGACCTTTTTTTTTTTAATGTTTTTTATTTATTTTTGAGACAGAGAGAAAGAGAGAGAGAGAGAGAGAGAGAGAGAGAGAGAGAGAGAGAGAGAGACAGAGCATGGGCAGGGGAGGGGCAGAGAGAGAGGGAGACACAGAATCCGAAGCAGGCTCCAGGCTCCGAGCTGTCAGCGCAGAGCCCGACGCGGGGCTCGAACCCACGAACCGTGAGATCACGACCTGAGCCAAAGTCGGACGCTTAACCGACTGAGCCACCCAGGCACCCCTAACTGACCTTTCTTTTTAAAACTCTGACCTTGGTCTTTAGAAGAAAAGGGCAAAAAAAATTTTTTTTTTTTAAAGGTACCCTATTTAGTTTCAGAGGCAACTCTATGGGTTATGGCTTAATTAAGCCAGTTGCCGACATTTTGAAAATGTTTCTAGGGCTGGAAAAATCAAAGCTTGTTTAATGAGTCTTGATATAGCCAAAAAATTCAGGTAATCAGAATGTTCCATTTCCACAACTGTGCTCCCTTTAATTCAGATTGCGTTGACAAAGACGGGGAAATAGAATGGTCCTCCCAGGGAGAGACCTCACTGTTGTGTAGATAACCTACTACCGGGCAGGCTTTTGCTAGAGTGAAAATACTGTTATGGTCAAACTAGTTCGTACTACCCTTGTATTTGTATGAAACCTTAACAGTTTACTAGTGTTAATGTCTATAATTAATCTGCCTTGTTTAATCAACACAGGGCCCCATGCTGTTCAGATGGGGAAATTGATTCGGGGAGGCCAGGGCTGGAGGTTGACCAGCAGAACCTGCACTTACATTAGGTCTTATCTCTCCAAGTTCATTCTGGCCCGGGGTGAGGCTGCTGGCCAGGAGGTGAACGCCAGCATGTGCCAGTTAGTAAGCAGTTTTCTGACAAATCCAAGGCCAAGGGAAGTGAAATAACTTCTTGGTTCCCCTCCGTTTCTTCCCATCAACCCCCTGTTGCCTTCCACCCCTGTTCACACCCACCCTTTCTGCCCACACCACCTCAGCCGCCTCTGCAGTTTCTCTGGGAAGCTAAGGAACTCTTTGTTTGTGCAGTAAGGGTTTCCTCACAGGAAATTTCCTGCGATGGAAACTCCGGGGAAACTTCCTGTTGGTTAGGACACTGCAGGGGGCTGATAACGTGAACCACTTAAACCTCCAAACCTCAGCTGCCGAGAAGGATGGGTTGGCCCTTCCCTGCTTTCTCCGAGCCTGGGAGGGCATGAAACTACAAGTGTACAGAAGCATCAAGAGGTTCGGGCACATGTTCCAGAAGCTAAAAGCTTATGCCTGTGATCAGCAGGTTCTTCTAGAAGATCAGCTCTCATGGTTCAGTGGGCTACTCAGGTTTCTAACAAGCCTGGTACCTGCAGGGCCATTCTGTCTGGAAGTATTAAGAGGACTCTGGAAAGTGTAAGAGGACTTCTGGGTTTAATTCTTTCTATATCACTTTAAAACATGTTTCTGTTACTCTTCAATGTTATATGTTTGTGAGTGCTGCAAACATTTATTTTCAGCTGTCACTTAGGGACTGGGAATTGTAACCAGTCTTATCATTGGCAGACACAGTTGACTATGTTACGTGATGTGATTTGCTTAACACCAAGCGTAAGTCATCTGGGGTGTGTACCACAGGGCGACCAATCTTGAGCCACAGCACAAAATTATCCAATAGGCTTTATGTTTGCTTGACCTACTCTGTACCTAGAGTGGAATATTTTGTTGTCTGCTGGCATTTGAACAAAGGTAATTATTCCTAAATCATCTCTTGGGGTTGAACTTAGCTTTGAGTATCTCCAGTGTTGGGAATTCTGTAGGTTCTCCTGAGCAGCTCTCTTAGCCCAAACTCAAGTTTGGCCTCCTACTTAGCCTGAATTTTCCTTAGTGACCTCTAGACCCATTACTATTCATCCTGCCCTTGTTGTACAATAAAAATAATTGACCCCTGACCTCTTTCTGTTTTCGTATCGGTAGACGGTTACTTGAAAGATGTATCTTAATCACTGGATTTCCCCCAACGCAAGTCCATTCCTCTACAAGTTTCTTAATAGGTATTGTCTTCCTGGTTTAGGTGCTAATGTGGCCTTCATTTCTAAAGTGCACTAGATTCGATGCAAGTTTCTACCAGTCTCACCTCCCCAAACTTCTGCCACAAGCGGGTGCTCTTTCTTGCTTGCTTTGTAGGAATGATCATTCTAGCATTTGAATAAATGATTCGCGCATACTCTCAGGTGGGGTATTGTGGCTGTATTCTTGGTCCACATTGCAAATTAGGGAAGCATACGAGAAATAACAGTTAGCCAGGAAGAAATTTGTAGCTGATAAGAAGCCTGTCCCTTAAACTCCTGGAAGACAGAAACCATTGTTCATCTTCGTATACACAATATTTTGTCATTGTTTTGCATGTAGTCTCCATACATGTTGGTTGACTGACTGAGTCCTAAAAGTCAAAAGAACAGGTTTTTGGATTTATTTTGTTCTTAGAATGTGTAAGAGTTGCAAATTTTTGGAATTTATTTGTGAGGACAAGCTGTCCTCATGAATTGAGTATTGATCTTCAAAATGGCGAGTCACCAATAACGAATGATGCTGCCTATAATATACTTACAAAATCTAGGGAAAATACCTTTGTAAAAATGCCTTGGAATAAGCTTTAAATATGGAACTCCAAACCAGTGATTTAATTTGGGACGAGCAGAAGAAAAATAGGGCCAATCTAAGTGTCTTGCAGTATGACTTACTTCTGATTTTATATTTGATTTATTATTATAGAATGGGATTAGCCGGAATGTGTCATAAATAAAGACCGTCACTATAAACACCAATTAGCACCATTTGTCTACGTAAGAATAATTGCCATTTTCAACCTGCTCTCGCTTTAAAATAGATCACAGTGACGTCATAATACCTATAGACTGAACCAAGATGATATTATCAGTAGTAGTAGCAGAAGTGCACCATGGTCTTCGTCAAGGGGACTTTCTGCTAAGGATCCTTATCTTTTCTGGAAGTCTGGTTAGCGTACTAGAAGGACCGGGGCTGTGGAATCTCACACTAATTTCTAGTTCTCCTTTTGCTGTTCGGTTCATTCTCTCAACAGATAATTTATTATATGACTACTAAGTATATATATGGGGTACTAAGTACACATCAGCGACCAAGACAGACATGCCCCTGCCTTCGTGTTGCTTACAACGTCATAGGGGAGATTGAGGCTGACCAGGAGTTAACCCCAGCCATACAGTGCACTCCCCACACAACAAGGAGAATACTCTGTTGTAAAATAGAAGCGACGTGGTGCCATTTCGCTGCTGCAAAACCTCCAGTGGCTTCTAGTTACATTTAGAAATATTCTGAATTCTCAGTGTGAACCACCAGGTCCCGTTTGATCCAGACCCCGTCAACCTCTCGAACCTCATCCTGTGCTACCTTTTGTTCTGTTCATTTCTCTTTAGCCAGACGGGTCTTGCTATTCTTAGAACTCTCTATGATAGCTCTTTCCAAAACCGCACCTTCCCTCGTTCCCCTTCCCCTTTACCTTGTACCGTTTTCCTCCATAGCACTTTCCGCCACTTGTAATTTTTTAAAAAGTTGGATGGCAACTCTTAGATGTTTATTCAAAACGTTGGCCGTCCCGTGTGCACAGGTGGGGCTTGATGCCTGTTGAGTCCAACTCCGGTGGTTCAGTTGGTTGATAATTTGGCCATCTCGTGGGAGGCCCCAGAAGTCTTTTCGGGGAAGTGAGTTTGCCCCAGAAGAAATCCTGTGGTCTCCTGCTTGTAAGGAACCAAGCTGGGAAGAGGCTTGAGCTTTTATCATTCATTACGCAGATTTCCACTGCATTTCCCTCTATTCTCCTAATCCTTGATCTCTGCTGGACCCGGTACTCTGACTCAACCTGATTCAAGCAAGCAAGTGTTCTGTCATCTACTAGGAGCGGCGGCCGCTGAGCCGAGGAGAGTGGAACAGACTCACACCACAGATCCTTTTATCGGTAGCCTCTCCTGCTCTCCTCCTGCTTTCAGAGGACCTTGGAACCTCTAGTTTCTGAAGTTTTTGGAGCTTGTCAGGAAGAACGAGCCTGTTTCTTAGTGGTGTCTCCCCCTGCGGGCAGGTGGGGTCTAGCTGTTGCGCTCTGCCAGATCAGATACCCGTCTTTGATCTGCGTCCCCTCCAGAATTTTGTGCACCTCTCTCCACAGCCTTCTCCCATCCTCTCTCTTTGTGGGTTTGTACCTTTCTTATTCCTCTGCTGTGGTTTAGCCACACCTGGGACAGAAGCAGGGATAGACACACACACGACTCACGCGTATAGTTACCCTTGAAGGGGAGGGCACTGATGCGGCACCACGGGGTGTTTTGAAAGCCTAAGGCACAGGAACTCGGTCTAGTCTACAGCGTACATGTAAGAGGCAACTTAAAAACTCAGTGGGAGTTAATGGGGTAAAGAGGAGGTAGGATTATCTCTGGGAAGGGGAAATGGGGTGTGCGAAAGCCCTGAGACTAGAAGATTTGGTCTTCCAAGGATGGAAACCCAGGCAACTGACGTTTGGTGAATTTGCTGTGGAAAACCACAACAAGGGGAAAAGCTGGTGAGGTAGCCTGAGCCCGTCATGTTAGAGAGTCTGGTCTGGGTCCCAAGAGCAGCGATCGGCCATGACTGTTAGCTGTGTAGCCTTGGACATCACAGAATCTTGGCTCTTCTTTTGTAAACCAGGCACATAACCTCGACCTCATAGAGTAGTAAGCACTAAATGGCGTTATGTATATACTATGTCAACTTAGAGTCGTCATACTTGTTTGCTGAATTTGATCTTTTGGGACATGACATGTCACTGTAGCCCCTCAGTAGAACAGTGCAATCAAAATGTCAGGTTGAGAAATAATCTTCTGAAATCAAGTAAGTGAAAGGAATCAAGTGACAACCAGTTGAGTGGTCTTGTTCTGGGTCCCAAAAGTCCAATAACAGAAGAGTGTCAATTATCCACACTCCAGACGAAGGTAGACTTGTAAGATGGTATAAAGTTGAAAAGGTAACAATTTGAGGGGTGCCTGGGTGGCTCAATCGCTTGAGCGTCTGACTCTTGGTTTTGGCTCCGGTCAGATTCTCGTGGTCTGTGAGTTCGAGCCCTGCTTCAGGCTCTGTGCTCACAGTGCAGAGCCTACTTGGGATTCTCTCTTTCCCTCTCTCTCTGCCCCTCCCCTGCTCATGATGTCTCTCTGTCTCTCTGTCTCTCTCTCCTCCTCCTCTCTCTCTCAAAATAAATAAATAAATAAATAAACTTAAAAAAAAAAAAAAAGATAAGAATTTGATAGTATTCCAGCTGTGCTCCGAAACTAATACTGCGTGAAGATCGATTAAGCTTATCAGTTGGTAGCTGGAGACTATAGAGGAAGCAGGCACCAAAGAAAGGTGGCGGATGGCTCTACCCATCTTTGTCCTATGCCACAGTTGATGACGAAGCAGTTGTCTTAGGTTTTCACGTAAAAAAGTTCCCTGTGCTCGGCAACATGCTAAACACGATAGGTAATAGATGAGGCTCTTGTCCTGAAGGATCTTTTAAGCTGTAATACATTTTCACATGAGTTGTATCATCTTTATTATTTTAAAGCATTGGCCGGAGAGTTGCACCTTCAGTG